GTTTTGAGACATGATATGGAGATCATGCTCCAACAACATTTAATGCAATAAGAAGGGGATGAGATGAAGAGGGATGAGAGAGAATATACAAACCACTTTTTGATTAAATTTACTCAAACTATTATTAAAATCATTCATCCATTTTTGTGGAGTTAGACTCAACACCATGGATCCAATGATATTAATAAAGTTCATGATCGAAAATTTAAATACAAGATCAGCCAGAAAATAATCACAAAATATTATTACATTTTAATATATACAAAAAGGTTTAAAAATAATGTTTAAAAATAGAAATAAAAGAGAAAATTAACAACTATGTCCAAATTAATCAAGAAATAAAATTAAGATCATAGAAAAATCAGAAATGAACTAAAATAATTTTATAAATTTTTTGGAAATTTTTTAAAGTCAGAAACTATTTTTAAAATTAAAAGAAAGGGGTAAAATAAACCAAAAATAATAAAAAATAGAAAAGTCATAAACAAAAATAAAATAAGGCCAGCAATATTTGTCGCAATATCATTGGATTATTCCATAATTTTTTCAGAATTTAAAAATGCATAAAAGTATTTTTAAATATTTAAAAAAATTCCAATAAAGTGTAAATTTATAAAAAATAACAAAACAAAAAATTAAATTGTGAAAAAATAAAAATCAGAAAGAGAATAATCAAAAATGTTTTTCATTATTTTTTCAGATTTTTTGGACTAAAAATGAATTTTCTATGATTTTTTGAAGTTTAAAACAATTAAATATAAAAAATCAGAAGAAAAAAATAAAATTCAAAAATATGTGGACCATTGGATGAGAGTTAAAATGCGTTAGTAATAAAATCCAAGAGATCTGGTGCGTTGTGCATATCATGGTCATTAGTGAATAAAGCACTGAATCAATTATTAAATCAGAATTCAAAAATAACAAGTGGCGTGCCATCATTGGTTGGAAGATGACACGTTGGTCATCTTCAACCTCCATCCAACGTGAATTTCAGGTCTCTCAAACTGTAAAATTAGAAGCTCAAACCTATGCCATTCGCTTTGTCTCTTCAAGACGAAGACAACCACACCCTCGCGCCAAATTTATTTAAACTGTAGCTCAAGCAATTTGGAAAGAAAGTTTTGAAAAGGGATTTGAAATTTCATGATCAAAACGTGTTTCCCGTAAGAAGTAACTGTTGCGACTAGAACCAGGGCAATGAGAGCATCACAATGATATCAAAGTTTTGAAGAATTGATGAAGGAATCTCCCTATTGAAGTTGAGTTGCAGAGCTCTGAAAATGGACTTCTATGGAGCAATATAGGGCACGATTCTTGAATGTAATTATATGGTTAGCTTCAGGGAAGATCAACGAAGGTGAATTGATGAAAAAATTGGATTGAAAAAGGCTTGAGAATGGATTTCGAAGTTGCTGAATTCTGAGTTAGGGAACAAGTTTGGCAGGGTGATTCTGGCTATCTAAGCTTGAGGAAATGAATGAGGATGACCCTCTATTTATAGGAAATCAAATGGAATGTCCAAGCGTGTGAAATGATGAAGTTTGGAGGGAAATCGTGTGATGTTGAAAACAAGAAAAGTGTGACTTCTAATTTGATCAAAACTCATCCAAAACGCGCGTTTTGTTGTGCTAATCAATTATAGAACTTCATTAAACATGTTTAGAGGCATAAACACATGGTAAACATGTGATTATAAGCCAAAACAAAGATTTCAAATTCTGACTTATCGGAAAACTTCAGTTCCAAGTTACCAAGTTAATCCCAATGGCATTCTCAGCTCAAGGGGTCTTAAGGCATTATTCTTGATGCTTTAGAAAGATGAGGTTACAAGCTTTGCAATGGAAAAATAATGAAATCAAATGGATGCTTGAGCTGAAAGTTGTGTTGAGTCAAAGTTGAAGAAAAAGGGTTGACTTTCCATACTTAGAAATATTTCAAATTCTTCTTCAAAAGTGACCAATAACATCTTGCATCCAAACATAGCCTTCTACTTGGAATTTTCTATCGACCAAAAAAGATGGCATGAAGTAGATCTCTTGAATGACATTTTGGAACTTGAACCATTCAAAATCTCCTAAAATTGAGAGAGTTATGAATTGTTGAAGTGGGAAAAAATCATGAAATGACCTATAATATTTTGTATCCTTAAGGAAATTTCCATCCATTTTCTCACTTTGCATATAAAAGAAGGCATAAAGTTCACATATTCAAGATCACTTTGGAAAAATAATGGGCTCAAGATGATAAACATTGACCAAGTTATGATCATTTGAAGTCACACATGGAAAATTGGGGATTCATCTAGATGACTTGTAATCTTTCTTTTTCATCAAGTTTCTACCACATGAAAAAACCTCAGAACTTTTGAAGTGATTTGTTGATAACCCTTTGAAGATAAGGGTGTCTTTGGAATCACTCAAAAATACTAAAATATGAGCAAGATATGCTTCTTTGAAGTTCAAAACCCTAACTCCTAGATCAAGAAAATGCTTTGAGGAACTTGGGCAATTTTGAACAAACTTCTTGTACCAAAACAAATGCTTTGTAAATATAAGTTATTGAGGATGATAATGAGAACTCATAGCAACCACAACCACTTCCATATCTTGATAATTTAGAGAAATATGCACTTGTGACCAATGGGAACAAGACCTTGTCCAACCATGACTATTTTTCAATCAACCCCTTGTACTTTTTGGATCAAATATTGATAACTTGGAAATATACTGAACCAAAATAACCTTTCCATGACATCCCTTCTAAAACAACTTCAATGGTGAGGTTTGAACTTCTAAAGCTTCATTGACTAGGTCATGGAAATAAATTCATGAACCCATGGATCAACTTGCTAAGCCCCATTGCCTTTACCTGCATTGTTGACAAGTAAGACAAACCAACATTACATTTTATTAATTAAAAGGAAAGTCAAAACAAAAACATGAATGATTACAGAATAAAAACAAGTCAAGGTGCTTGGTGATTCCTCAAAGAGCAAAGCTAAAGATAGAAAGGAGAACCAAAATCCCTAATGTGATCTTGTTGTGATTGAATTAATATGGTATGGTGAAGGGATCTTAGGGGTAAAAAATGGGGTACAACAACCTCCCTTATATGTTTTTTCTTATTTATTTTGCATCCTTGCATTAAGACTAAAATTATTTCCTGGAAAATGCATAAAACATCTAATAACTTTCAAATCTTTTTTTAAGTTAAAAAACATCAACCAATGCAGACTCTTTTGCCCCTTCGGGCCCCATTTTCTTTCAAATTTTTTTAAAAGAGCATGTTAGTTCCTTTCCACTACAGGTCGTAAGTCTCCAAGGGACGAGCAACGGTGGAATGATTGCATTTAACATTCACTACAAGAAAATTGGCAGATTGCGACAGGTATTTTTGCAGAAGTGTGTGTCCCCAACCTATTTCGCGACGGTTACAAAAACTGTCGTTCTAGTTTACGACGGGTTGATACCGTCGTGACTATCTTTTGAGTTTCTTTTAATTATTGATGGCGACGGTTCGATACTGTCGTGAATATCTTGTGAAATTGATTAAATTGTTTATGGCGACGGTTCGATACCGTCATGACTTTTGTTGATTATTTTTAATTGTTGATTACGACGGTTCGGTACTGTCGCCATGACTTTTGTTTATGTCTTGATTTTTTTTTTATTTTTCTATTATATATATTTTTTATTTAAATTATTATCTATGTAAAAAATTTTAAATATAGTTTTTTTTTGTGTTATTTTTTTCTTTAAATTATTTCTTTAATATATTTATTTATAGTATTATTTTTTGTTTTATTTTCTATCACTTTGTAATATAGTAAAAATAATTTCAATAAAAAATATTTAACATCAAATAAGCATTATAATATCCAAAAAAATGTGTGTTCCATAATCATGTAAAATGCGAGTTCCATAATCATGTCAAGTAGTACAAAAAACCCAAAATATATCAATTCCTAATCTTATAATAATAAGTATCATTATGCCAAAAATACATGAGAAAGTTCACAATCTAATTATCTCGATCATAGCAAAGTCTAATTTGTCCCCCCTAAAGTTCCATTATCTCCAATACGGTAGCTAGACTCAGATGAACGTCTACCATCAGCGGGTGATTCCAATCCCTAAAAAAAGGTATTAAAATAATAATCTTTAAAATAATACTCATAAAATTTAACTTTAAATGCGTCAAAATAATATACCTGTCTTCCACTAAAATTCTGCATTTGCATTAAGAGTTCAATTTCCTTTGTCCTCGCCTTGTCCCTTTGCGTTAAGAATATGATTGCCTGTGTTAGGATTTTAAAGTGCTTTTGCGGTCCCGTATGAATGTGATTGCAAACATTGCAATTTTGGTTATTACAATTGCTTATAAGAATAATGTATTTGTAAAGGCACACTCAAATTTAAGATAAAATTCTTATAAGATAAAATTCTTTAGTCTAACACTATTAAACAGTGATATAGTAAAGGCACACTCAAATTTAAGAATGAAATCATACCTCAAAGACGCACGAGGGTTTGAAGAGCAGCGAAGCAAGTGGAAGAGAAAAGTTACCTGCAACAAAAACCAAAGCAGCATATCAATAGTTGGTAGAAATCATAGATTTATCAAATAGAAATCTTATATTTTTCAACAGCTCATATCCCTTTAAATCCAACAAAAACATTATTATTTTCATTCTAGTGCAGAAGACACTTCATGTTTCAGATGCATAAAGGGGAGCAGCTCAGTTTCTTGAGAAGAAGGGGTTCACTCAATTTACTCCTCACTTTATAACTTGGTACTGCCCTAATGATTTTCTCTTAAGCAATCAATGCAAGTCTCAGTGTATAAACAACGGCCGGTACTGTGCTCCAGACCCTCAATAGCATCTATGATATAATTTAATAGAATTCCAGATTACTAGATCTGTTTTGTATTATTTATAAACTGTCAATGTTTTTCATATGCTCTAGCTTGTGTAAACATTTCTCTACCACATGTTAATTTTAGACCCTACCAACAGGAGAAACTGGTGGATTAGAAACATAACTTGTAGGAATATCTTCTAATTTACCAAAAGCCTTTAGTTCCTCGGTTTGCGACTTTCTTGTTCCAGAAAGCTCACATGGCATCTTGCTATCAACTAATGCAATGCAAATGGCGAATGCTTGCAAAAGTGAGAGCGACGAGTCAAAGGCTACAGAACTCATACCATTTTCTAAGGGGTTAAGCTGAATGCTGGGCACGGATCGTGTTTGTTCCCCTGTGGTTAGCAAGAAAAGAGATGCACCAAACGAGACAGATGAGATTTATTATATTCAATAACATTGAGCTCAAAGGACAGTTGATAAAGAATTTTGGATTCGGGAAAAAAAGAAATCTAACCTGCTGTCAAAACTCTTTCCTGTTTCACTATCAACAACAGAAGACTTACTCATACCAGGCTTGGCTATACGGATTATATGTTCACATTCCTCACTGTTATTTTCTCCTGCAAGTTTCATTTTGTTATTTTCAATAAACTACATAGAGACCAGTTAGTTAAACAGTTTGGAATTGGATACCTTGGTTTGGCTTGTAAGCAGAAATGAAATCTGTTCCACTCAGATATTGTATTGGTTTGGTGTCGGTTCCCAAATACGATTCGTAAGCGTTCTCCATAAATCTGTTCAATAGTTGACCACTCCATTTGTGTTTTTGTTTCATCTTTTTGATTTCTTCAACCCCTTTTAACAAATTTTGAACACATCACCCATAGAACAATAAAACAAACATTGAGATCAACTAAGACGAGACATTTAATTACCTACTCCTGAAAGGCCAAGGGTATAGATATATGCAAACTTGATAAACCAAAGACATGTAGCATAGTTTTCTGGAAGAAGTTTGTGTTTAGATTGCATTGATATATTGCGATGTTGATAATTTTGGAACACTTTGTGTTTCTCTTCAATATTTTTAGATCCTGCAATTCAACTACCGTTTCATTTTTGGGTTATGTGTTTTTATGCTACTGTAAGATGTAATTCACACATACCATATGCAGCAGTAGAAGTAGTTTCTTTCATCAGCACTCGCTTAACAAAGGGTATAAGTGGATAAGCATACTCTTTACATTTTTGAAGAAAGAGATAACATGTGTCATTGTTCTTTGGACATTTCTTGTGTGAGCTTGATTCATATTGTTTCATGGCACAATATTTGACAGCTTCTTCCACATTCAGGATTCCCACAGGTATACATTGTAATGCATAAATGTATTAAAACTATGCATAATGGACAGTAATATACACAATATTGAAATGTTGCACACTTACAGTGGTATAGAATCCTCTTCCACCATATCATCTTGCATCCACTTTTGAATGCTGAGGGCCTAGTAGCAAGAAGTTTGAGAGGACTAAATCCATGTCTGTTCGCAATGACAATAAGATCCGGATATTTATCTATAATTATAAGCGCCAAATCTGTTGCAATATACACAAATATTAGTATTTTATATACAGTTTTTCTGACACTCCAGATTTTCATGCAAGTTTCTGCATAAATGCATGTGGAATCCGATAGGAATAAGCAAACATGCAATTTAAGTAGAAACATTAATTACCGAAAAATTCTCTCCTGATGGCACAGTGAAGAATACTATCTCCATTGCTTCTAATAAGATCTTTAGAATAAGAATAATTCCCACCAACATCGCAATCACTCTTACTCGGTTTAAAGTTGAAGAGATAAACAAACGTTCGTTTTTGCCAAGACAATGCAGCAAGAAACAAAGGACTCTCTCCATTGTTGTTATCGATATCGATCAAATACTTCCTTTCACCATTCATTCCAATTATACATTCACATATATCTTTGAATCCTCTTGATGCTGCAAGGTGCAATGCAGTGTCACCCTCCTTAAAGGGCTTGACCTGCTTCTACCAGCATCACCAGGTTTATCATTTCCTGAAATGTTTAAGTTATCACAACCTCTCACATTGTCTAAACTATATTCAGCAGCTTTTATAGAGTTCTGATGCAGCACGTGCCCAGTCTCTTTACAAGCAGAACCTCTACTTGTATAGCTGGTGCTGCTTAATTGACGAAAAGGTGAAGAGCTTCTTGACTTTCCAGATTTAAAATATAATTTGTTGATTTGAGCATGAGTATAATACAGTTAACTAGCCATTAACTATAAACACTGAAAATGAAATTCTCACCTTAGCAATAGACTTTGAGCAGCCAAAGAAGCAGCGGAATATTTCACCTCTGCAATAACAGCAGGGGTTGCAAGGGACTTAAAATCTAGACAGGTATGTTATATTAAGATGCATCAAACTATAAACTTTTTATACACGTGAATAAAACAGAATGCATCATTAGGAAAAGCTATGTTTAACTGTTGCACTAAAATTCTTATAAAATTAATATTGAAAAGTTTGAATATCATCACAATTTGGCACACAAATTGGATTTCAATTGAGTAATTCCACATCTGAATCTTTATTATTAAATAGCCTCCATGCAAGTAAGAACACCTTATGAGGCACCAATTTGTTCCAGATAACATCACAAGTTGAAGAATCATTTATGTTGACATGATCCATGCAAGTAATAACACCTTATGAGGCACCAATTTGTTCCGGATAACATCACAAGTTGAAGAATCATTTATGTTGACATGATCCTGTTCATATGGTAATCTCTTTTGAATGAATAGCATTCTCTCGAGTTCTAATTTCACATCCAAACATTTAACATATTTTCAAAACGTTAGCCAACAAAATCCTACCACCTCATCTTCCTATTGACATGGTCTCTGTTCCCCGTCATTCTAAATAACCTACTAAATCTATTGAAATTCTTGAGCAGCTCTCCTCCCACTCAGGATCAAACTAAAAATATGTATCTGACCATTTCCTACCAACTTTATACCTGGAATGTAATCTCTACCATTCACCAACCCATACTTAGTGAAAGTTGCCAAGCGGAGACCCCACGTAAATCACAGAAGAACACGAGTGTTTTTCTATTAAAAACAGGAAGTCGTAATAAAAAAAAAGGTGCCTGATGAGAGAATCGGAACATCTCCTCTTTAGGAATCCTCTTAACCTCATTCTGGTCCTGGTGCCTTCGAAATACTGTCCTAAAGCCAGGAAACTTAACAAGGGGAGTGACTGATATATCAATATTATTATTACAATTGCAAAACGACTACTATCCCATTTGGATCAGTATATGGTCCTCTTATATCAGTTTTATGCCTAAAACAACAAATTAGAAAACCTAAAAAATCATAAAAAGAAATAAAACCCTAAAATAACAAATTAGAAAACCTAACATCAATTCAATATATTCAAACTCAAAATCAATCATCACAAAGAGCTCAACCATAAGATTCAAGTGAATCTCCAATGCTGAAATCAATGGCAGAGAATGAGAGAGATGAGAACAATGCAAAAAGTGATACATAAAACTTACTGTGTTTGAAGAGATGAACGCAGAGGATGTAGTTTCCATTGCTGTGCGTTTTTTGGTGTGAAGATGAGCGATTTGAAGAGATTCCTTTCGGTGTCAAGGGGTTTCTTTCGGTGTGAAGAAGAACGGGTTTGAGTTTGCACTATAAATCATTATAATTAATTCATTTCTATTATAATGAGAATCATTTTTTTCATTCAACTTTGTGCAAATGCATTTTTGTGGAATATTTTTAATCTCGAAAAGAAATAAAAGTGAAGAATAATGAACTCATAAATTTTCAATATTTTAATTTCTTTTAGTTCTAAGATCTTTTTTAGTACTAGACATTGGATAATATATTTTAGGGTTCATAATTTGTAAATCTAAATTTTAATTTCATGTTATATTTGAATGTGTTAATGATGGATATAAAATCAAATCTATATAAATCTCAAAAAAAAATTGTTTAAATCTTATTTGGTGCTTGTTTTATTTAGGTGATTATAGACTTGATCATTCTATCATTTCACGAAACTCCAAGAAACAAACTACTCTAGCTTTTCCATTTGTTGAATCTGAGTATCGTGCTCTTGTTGCTTCAACTAGAGACTTACAATGGATCTCATTTCTTCTTCATAATTTAGATCGAACCTCTGTGATACAATTTATATTATAAGTGATAGTCAAAATGCAGGAGTAGAAAGTGAATGGATGTTTTATGAGATTTTGAACTTTTTTACGGCGACGGGTGTTTTACCGTCGTGCCCATGAAAATTTTTAAAGGTTTTGGATGCGACGGTTGTTTTACCGTCGTGAAATGAATTTTAGGACGGATAATTTTACCGTCGTGAAAGGTTTAAGGGTGCGACGGGTGCTTTACCGTCGTGATATGCCTTTTAGGACGGTTAATTTTACCGTCGTGACTAGTTGTTGGTGAAAAATCAATGTTAAAAGTGTTAAATGGGGGCCGACTGTTGTTTTACCGTCGTAATAATAATATTATGATGGTTAAATATACCGTCGCAAAATAAATATTAGGGACGGTTGGTGTCAACTGTCGTAAACACTGTCTCTATATGTCAATTACGACAGTTATCACATAACTGTCGCAATTTTTGTGTCGTTAAACACTAATTTTCTTGTAGTGATTGTTCAGCTAAAAAACATAAACAAACCAAAACAAAAGAGACGAACTACGATAACTTTGATTCCTCAAAAAATATATGTAGGCATTGGGATAGGACCCAAACAAAAGAGCCGAACTATGGTAACCCTTTTAACTTTAACCTTAGATTTAGATCTTTACACCCATTAGATTAGATAACAAGAGTGAATATCATAGAGTACTATAGGCGTATAGGGTGATGATACCTTCCCCTCGGGTAACAGACTCCCTTAACTGATCTCTCGGTCATTTGATCGTGATTTCACCCTTTTTAGGTTTACTCGATGTTTACCTTTCCCTTCCTGTGGAATAAAAAATGTTCGATGGTAACTTTATTGATTTCATCTCGATGACTTGTTTAAACGGTTGTTTAAGCCATCATAAGTTACGAGCGATGGTGCCTTGAAGTTATCCGGGACTTGGTCATCCCAGATTGCTTGAGAGAGTGGTTGAGGTTCTAAAGGCTCCTCCTTTGGATGATCCTCTGCCTAGCTCCTTTGTTGTAGGCCAGTGAAACTCTCTTGTAAGGTGTCATTTTGTTGTCTCAGAGTATCCACCATGGACAATAGTTAGGCCATGTTTGGAGGGTCTCCTGGAGAGGACATTTTATTGATTGTTGTTCGTTGTGTGGCTTGGGAAAGTTTTACTAAGGCCCCACGCTGGGCGCCAAATGTTCTTACGTAGGAACATTAAATGAGTAGCTTTCGTTATAAGAATAGGGAGAGCCTCAAAGGTAGATTTATGTAGGTATGATTAGGGATTTAAGAGCTATGCTTGCACTGTGTATTGTCTCAAGAATAAGTGTCTTTCATATCCCTCTGTTGGGAGCCTCTTATATAGACTTCCTTTAAGAGCTATATTTATGAAGTGACTCTTCATTTTGCTCAGTTACATTCATTTGGAAACGTCCACCGACAGCCATGATTGGTATAATTAATCTCTTGTAACACTGATGTTAATGAACTGGAGACCGTTTCGGAAGTTACATTCGGGCTTTGCATGAGACCTTTCTGCTGATGCTTAGGTCGCACCCTGGAGAGTGGTTCATGGACGAGGATCTCGGTCGTAATTGTTGACCCTTCCTAGAGCTATGCTTATTTTGTGAACCCGGGTCCTTGAGGTACCTTCCTCCCTATGCTTCCTCTGGCTTATGGTCTTGGCTACCAATTGAAGTTTTCGGGGATATAACAACTCCCATAGTGGGTTCCTCAACAAAATCCTATCATAACCAAAGTGGTCCGCTGTCTGGGTAGTCATACCCCATAGAGAAATACCATATTGATCGGTGCGGCCAACTCGCCCCAAATAATCAGTCGAAAAGACGGCCATAATAACATGCTTCTTCTGAGCCATAAAATATAAGAAGAATAACTCCATCTGAGTGGACACCCCAGTACTGTCACCTCGTCCAAACAAGGTATAGGCTAGGCCCTTTGGGGCATACCTGAAACAGGGGTTCTTAATACCATATGACTTTTCATCTTTTGCACCATAATTAGTGTTACATGTAATCATTGTCCAAAAGTCTTTTTGGACAAAAATATCTAGAACAGTTCCGGGACCAACAACTGGGAGATGAAGGATTTCCCTCAACTCCGCAACAGACAATACATGATCATTATTAAACAGGCATTATGTGAGATCAACATAGTATTCTCTAGCAGAGTCAGTCCGCCTATTTTCTAAATTGAATTCAATCGTACTCAGAAACTCAAGAGTAACGCAATTATATGTTTGCGCCTCCTGTTACATAAATTCCAGCATACCCAAACTATGAAACATCCGATGAATCTCTAATTTTAAGCCTAAATCACTCAAACTTTTGTCGCAGATATACCTGGCTGGCGTAAGCATACGCTTCACAAGAACGAAATACCTTCACTCATGTTCGGGGGTATCAAAAACCATATCATGCGCATTTGGAGTGCGGATGCCCCGCTTCTGTGGCTGTGAAGATTCACGCGCTTACTACTTCCCTTTGACAACCCTCTTTGGGGGCATTTTTGTACCAGCAAAACAAAGAGAGAGAAACAACAAAAATTTGAAGCGTAAAATTAATGAAAAATAACCACAAATTATTGTAGAAGACGAAGAATGGTGAAGTTTTTGTGAAGGAAGTTTTTGAATTGGAGTTGATAGGGGATAAAGTAGAGAGCTTTGTATGGGGTTTTTAATGGGGTTTTAGGTTTTATTGGTAGAGAGAGGTAGGAGATGACAAAATCACAAGGAAATCAGAATAATGAGTGGGAAAATTGGAGAAAGTTGTTTTAATAAGAGGTGGGACCCACAAAATACAAAAATCAAAATTCCCAAATTCCCTTCGCAACCTTGACACGGGTCGTGTCGACCAACACGGTCGACTGTGTCAGGGGTATGTGATTCAACTCAATCTTGATTTTCTCGCGCAAGCTTCAGGGGCCTGGACACAGGCCTTGTCACCTGACACGGGAGAATGTGTTAGAGGTCTGGTATTTTACTTTTTCTGCTTTTCCTATGCATGCTCAAATTTTTCCTTCTCTTTCTCGTACAGGGAACTTTGTAAACGTATACATAACCTATAAAAAAATCTTAACAAAAACAAAGAAAATAATTAGCAATAAAACACGTGGGTTTCTTACCACGAAGCACTTCGTTTAATGTTTCATGGCTCGACGGTCGTCCATCTTATCACGTAAGATGAACATCATCTATCAGACCACTTTCTTGGCCTTAATAGTATGGTTTTAGTCGCTGTCCATTCACCTTGAAGCTGTCCCCGTCGTTTGGATTTTTAAGTTCCATCGCTCCATGGGGAAACACTTTGTGAACCAAAAACGGTCCTGACCACCTTGACTTTCCATACTTAGAAATATTTCAAATTCTTCTTCAAAAGTGACCTATATTATCTTGCATCCAAACATAGCCTTCTACTTAGAATTTGCTCTTGACCAAAAAATATGGCATGAATTAGATCTCTTGAATGACATTTTGGAACTTGAACCATTCAAAAGCTCGAAAAATTGAAAGAGTTATGAATTGTTGAAATGGGCAAAAAATCATGAAATGACCTATAATCCTTTGTATCCTTTAAGAAATTTCCATCCATTTTCTCACTTTGCACATAAAAGAAGGCATAAATTTCACATCTTCAAGATCATTATGGAAAAAGAATAGGCTCAAGGTGATAGAAATTGACTAAGTTATGATCATTTGAAGTCACACATGGAAAATTGGGGATTCATCTGAAGGACTTGTAATCTTTCTTCTTCATCAAGTTTCTTCCACATTAAAACTCCTTAGATCTTTTGAAGTGATTTGTTGATAAACCTTTAAAGAGAAGGATGTCTTTGGAATCATTCAAAAATACTAAAATATGAGAAAGATATGCTTCTTTGAAGTTCAAAACCCTAACTCCTAGATCAAGAAAATGCTTTGAGGAACTTTGACAATTTTGAACAAACTTCTTGTACCAAAACAAATGATTTGTAAATATAAGTTGTTTAAGTTGATAATTATAACTCATAGAAACCACAACCACTTGCATATCTTGATAATTGAGAGAAATATGCACTTGTGACCAAAGGGAACAAGATCTTGTCCAACCATGACTATTTTTCAATCAACCCCTTGTACTTTTTGGATCAAATCTTGATAACTTGGAAATGTAGTGAACCAAAATAACCTTTCCATACCATCCCTTCCAAATCATCTTCAATGGTGAGGTTTGAAATTCTCAAGCTTCATTGACTAGGTCATGGAAATAAACTCATGAACCCATGGATCAACTTGCTAAGCCCCATTGCCTTTACCTGCATTTTTGACAAGTAAGACAAACCAACATTGCATTTTATTAATTAAAAGGAAAGTCAAAATAAAAACATGAATGATTACACAAGAAAAACAAGTCAAGATGCTT